ATATATATATATATATATATATATATATATATATATATATATATATATATATATGCATAAATCAAGCGGAACATTATGGTGATTGCCGTACTGCTCCACTTGTAAAAGCAAAATCTGTTGGGCTCTTTTTGGCATCAAAACAATTATTCTTATTGCAACATTGCCAGACAGGATACAGTTAAAAAAATAAAATTAAATAAAGATCAAAGTTACCAGGAGCTAAGATTTGTTGAAGATTTCACCTACCGGTATTAAAATTTTTTTTCTCTTCTGTTTGGATTTAAGTATAGACCAGCTAAGTGGACTTTTGCGCATTTTATAACATTATATAAATGTTCTTGGATTAAATCCCACCTGAGACCTTTCTGCGTTTGCTATGTTATAGAAAAAGGCAGATCTCAATGAGATTTATTACATCTGTCTTTTGTTTTTCTGACCTGGTTTTTCACTGCGGTCACCATGCCCTTCTTGCGGTAGTCGACAGATTTGGGAAGCCTGGACACAGACTCATCAAATGCCATAGTGAAGCTCCTCTCATTATCCATTGGGACCAGTAGACCAGTCATCTTCTCAGCCACTTCCTCAGATGTCTGCAGAAACAGATAAATAATGAATAGTTACATTGCTCATGAAATATTAGTATTTTAAATAATCAAAATTCATTCAACTGATTAAACCTAGTCAATTCACTTTACCACCTTGACAAAATAAGGTTAGCAAGCTTCTTGAGATGCGTTTGATAAAGAAAAATATTGAAGGAATGACTGAAAAGGCAGCGGAGTGATTCATTCTCAGAGTAGTGATGATGACAAGTAAAATGAGATATGGGAGAGGGAGAAATGGATTCAACAAAGGGGACAGAGGATGAAAAGAAAGCAAGGAATGATCCAATGCAGGTTACTATGTAACCTAATAATGTAATTTTTCCCAACATCAGTTAAAAACAGATTAAGAGATTAAAGGTATACAAGAAGAAAAGGTTTGTATAAAAGACAGTTGGGGTGATGACAGGTTATTTCTGGTTTCATATGTGGCTGTTTTAATGGCAGCTGATTAGATGACATTCAGTGATTATTTCCTCCTTTTAATCCTATCAGTTTCACATCGAGTTTTCAGCCGAGTCCAGTCTAAAAACAGCTAGGATTCGGTAACACAGCCCATCTGTTGATCTCCTTTATTATAATTGATGTATTTCCTTCAAAATGAAAACAGGAAGACATTCATTTACAGCCACCTGTTCTGACACAAACATAAATTAGTCATCAAGCTGGAATTCATATGAGAACATGATATGCCTCCAGCAAAGGCACCCACAGCCTGGTATGCTGCACTTAATGAAGCCTGCCCTCCAATCAGTTTTGATCAACGACATGTTTTAGCAGGAAGCTAGTTATGCACAGAAGTGTCACTGATTTTAGACAGCTTCTGCATCTGCTCAGCTTGCCGGTACATGACCTAGGTAAAAAAAAATGATAAGAACTGACAGCTGAATATGACAGGTAGAAATTATATGGTGAAATAAGTTTCTCCCCCCCCCCCCAAAAAAAAACATAAAATGTTTTTTTGGGGGGGGGAGGGAGAAACTTCCAATGCTCTCTGCACTGCAAAAAATCTAAATCTAGATTAGTCATTTTTTCTTAAAATAAGTGCATTTGTTCTTGGATTGAGGAGGTAAAAGAGAGATTTTGCAAATGGAACAAGACAATTTACACTAAAATAAAAAAAAAAAACACAATTGCATTGTCTTATTTCAAGTGCCTATGATCTAAATATATCATTTTAAGAGTAAAAATACTCATTCCATTGGCAAACCATCTCATTTACCTACAGAAATTAATGGTAAATACACTTAATTTAAGAAATGTTTACTTATTTCAAGATCGTTTTTCCAGTGTGTAAGTGTAATATTACAGCAAAACCAGTTTAATCAAAATTAAGCCAAAATGCTGTTGGTGTTTTGGACATTGTTAAAAAAAAATCTGAGACATCAATGCTGCAACACCCAATATATAACGCATTGGCCTCTGCTAACGGTGTTATTTCAACCTGCTGCAAAGACTGATAATAACTTTAACTTATCTCACACTATGCCTGACAGATAGTCCATCTGCACTGATTAAGACTCACAGCATTTAACATGCTTTTGTGGATTTGATTTGTGCATTTATTCATAAAGCTCTTTACAAATTAAAAGGCAACCAAAGTTGTGTAAATATGTGCAAAATTAAGCAGTAGCAGAAATAAAGGAACAAAGGACAGGTCAAATGGTCGTGCTCTGTGAGGTTAAAACTGATTTAAAAAGATGTTTCTAAAGATACTTTAAAGGATTTTATTTTCCAGCAGGCCTCACGACAAATGTGACATTTTTAATGGCATCATAAAGGATGTGTGAATGCTTGAGAAGAATCTAAACGTTTAATAAAGATTGCTTGTTAAAGGAAATATATATCTTAATTTCTTTGTTAATCAATTACAGATTAGAATCAGTATGTTCCAATTAGTATGCAAGGCATGTTCTGCTGGGCTGAGCCTGAAATGGTAATCAGCGATAGTCACAGATGTGTTTGAAACAGAGCTCCTGCCATAGAAATGCAGACAATGGTGAATAAACGAGGAACCTGCTGGGTAGATGAGGAACAGATAGATTTTTTTCATTTATCTATTTTTTGTTTTGCTTTTTTCATCTGTCTCTGGGTAAAAAAAACAAAAAACAAAAAAAAACAAAGGTAGCTTTATTGAGATGATTACATGTTAAGTACGTATTTTTGTTATAGATAAAGAAATAACAGTAACATAGCCTTTACATACCATGTCTCCCAGGTGGTTCATCCCCAGCTCATAGGAGTGCATGCCCAGTGCTGCCTCCTGGTTATGAGCCTCAATCATTCGCATGTTCTTCTCCCAGATCGCTCTGCGGATCCCCTCTTCATCCTGAGGCAAACAAAGACAGCTTTCAGGCCCATGTGTCAGTTCTAAAGAAAAAAAGGTGCCCATCCCCTGCAGCCACATAGATAATTTTCATCATTTGAAATTCCTTTTCAAGCATCAACTTTTTACTTATAATTTCTGATGCTTGGCCAAAAAACTGTCGAAAAAGTCATTGACATTAAAAATAGCTTCATTTAAGCTGTTGTGTTAATGAAATCACAAGAGGATGTAGAAAAAATATGTCTTGGTAATAAAATGAAATGTAGGAAAGCAAATGTAATTATCAAGGGCTAAATAACAATGGATGTCCGATACACCTTCCAATTTTAAAGCTTAAATAGCAGCTAACCTATTACACCTTCAGGCTGCAAATCCATTACTTGGTGACTATAATAAACCAACAAACCAGGCTGCATAGAAGAGAGAGATGTTTATAGAAATGCTGACCTACATTTGGTAAACCACACTATTATTATGTATGGAAAAAGAAGTAAAATAGAAATACATTTAAAAAGGTACAAGACAAAAAGATTACATTTACTATTTCCCAGCTGTATAAAGAACTGACAGCAGATGCAGGCCAAATTGGGCAAGCAGGGCAAATTTAATTATAATCAGCATGCTGGAAAAAGAAAAAGCTTCCTTGTGTTGTAGCCTAATTCTGTTAATTAGGCCAATTTAACTGGTGATTCACACAGTAGTATTCTCTTAAACAAATATTCTAAATCAATTATTTGCTATTTATCCACCATTTATGTTGCTACTTAATGTTGCGCCTCAATTTAGCCTTTTATCTATATGATGAAGAGAAAATGTAACCAATTTGTTTGGGGATATGGTGCTGGTGGAAAGCATCAACCCTTTCTCTGGTTAGGCTATTATGAACTATTAAAGCCCTGAATCAACTGCTATGCATTTCTGCATAACTGGATATTTTTGGAGTCCCAGAAAATGAAAGTGGTGCTTTTAGAATGCAGGACTGGTTTTAATAGCTATGGCTCCCTGCATGAACATATTGTAATGGGGTAGGCTTCAAAGTGGACTCTGGACATCTCTAAATGATTCTTAATGGTACTGCTCTAGGAGGAGTTTAGAACGAGTTAAGGAATGCTGAAAAAAAATTGCATCATGACACGATTTAGATATTCTGTCAACCACATTAGAATGCAAATGGGTTTTACACAACATTAAACATTTACAGTTAAAGCAACATAAAACACATGCCAACATTGTCAACATTAAAAGAAGAGTGCATGGCACAGCCAACATGCGTCTACACATACTGACACAGTGCGAGCACCAACGCACTCACAGCTGTGCAGATATGACCTCTAGCTGGAGGTGATGCACAAAGAGGGATGACTGATGCTCAAAAAGCTGATAAAATGAATTTACAGTCAGGTCTGCTTCTAAACCAGCCAAACCCCATTCCCTTCCATCTTCACACCCCATAACTTCAAAAACAAAAGTTATATGACAGAGGATTTGAACCTTAGCTTGTGAAACCGAGAAGGGATTAAAAATGGGGCAGAAAGTAAGTTAGAAGTGATGGGAGTTTTTCTCTGTTGGGAATTTTCCGACACCTGCTCTGACGTTTCCACCATGAGAGCATAAAAAAAAAAGGATCCAAAAATTAGGCTAATTGGATTTTCCCTCATCATTTTAGATGATTGGAGAAGAGTTACAATATTATAACTGTAAAGATAATTGTGACTTTTATCTAACAAATATTATTCCTTTTACTCATTTTTACTTCTTTTTTATCATCATCTATTGTCATTCTAAATTACTGGTAAGGTTAAAAAGAAAAAATATAAAAGAGTAATAATAACATCTCATACTTTACGTCCGGTCTTACTTCTGTTTGTTCGGGTCTGAAACAAACAACACTGGTTTTATTCCTCATTTCCCCTGCTGACATTGTTTCCTTCAGCACTTACCGCCCAGAGTTATTATGCATCTTATTAAAACCACACACTACTCATTACTGTTAATGAACAAAGGCACACTGTGGTGAATAAGCAGTTTTTTTATTAGAATTGCATTGTGAATACAGCGATTCACTGGACTGGTCCAAGAGGAAGACTTAAATGTATTGTCATCCAGTAGAGATTAATATATGATCATATTTTTAACTGCAACAAAACTTTCTGCTGTAGGTTGTTGCACAGGCAAAAATCCACTTAGTGTTGCTTTTTTTTTTATCTAAAACACCTTAAGCTGCTTTTATATTGGATGTTGCAGTTGTGGTTTAGTTATTCTGAGAGGCGAAGGTGCAGACATATGACCGGGGTCCAGGTTCTGCACTGCTTGCTAGACTAAACCCGCATCACTTCTACAGAGATGGAACAGACTTACAGGAACTAATAGGGTGTAAACTTGTTTCTTAACAGGTGAATTGTATTATATATAAAAATTTATAGCAAAGAAGAAAGGGGAAAACAAAGTTTCCAGATCAATAGAAGAATGCCAATTGCTACCTTAAATATGCAGAGTTCCTTCACAGTTAGACCATAAGAGGTGGCTTCAGGGTAATATATTCAGAAAACTTGCATAAAATTTGAAAAGCTCTCACTCTAATGTCATCTTATTAATTCTTCTTTCCACTTTGTGAAGAACTTTCTTAAATGTTGCCTTGCAAAAACCAGGAGCCATAAACAGAAATCAGAAAACCAAGGGTGCGCTGCAGCTGCTTTTAGTCCAAATTATTCACCATTTTTTTTTTACTAATCTGCACATATTTAAACCCTGAGATTATGTTACATTGAAGTGAACCCATCTGTGTGACATCTCATGGTTATTAGCTGCAATGGGTTTATTTAGTGGTATCAGAGCATTTGTAGCTAAATAGAAATCAATGCCCCATTTTGGTAAGGTTGAAAAAAAAATATTGAGCCCTCATATTAACCTTAGTGAAGAAAAATGGGTTTTTTTATTTTATGGAGAACAAATATGTAGATTTTAAGTATATATAAGGAATTTGGTTGAGATATAAAGTGTTTATTTGACTTTTTATATCTTCAACATCGGGAGTATCAGAATATTATAAAAATTCAGCAAATAAAAAGTCTTACTAAACCAAAAAAAAGATAAAAACGAAACAGGTTGCTGCAGGTTACAAAGGAGATGTTGTAACGAATTCCAAGCTTGTAGGTTTAGATATGATCTCCTGGTACCCCTTAAGATTTATTATCAGACACTTGCTTGTTTTTTTTCACATAATCTTCATTCCTCCGTCAAAAGCTTCAGTGTCAGACAAGAGCTTGTTTTAACAGGCACTCACCAAGCCGTTGTATTCTCGCCGATGTGTAATCTTCCATTGCTCCCACTGGGCTTCCAGAGTGGTTTCATCAATGTGGCCCAACGCTGAGACTGCCAGCAGCAATACACACACGTACCAAAACATCCTGAAAGTAGATGTTAATGTTAAGTTAGTGTAAAGTTAATGACTCAATATGTTTTGCCCATTTCAATCATTTCTATCAACCTTTTTGGTAATAATGCATTTACAGTGATTTATTTTTAAACAAATGCGTCGATCTAGAGCTGCAGCTGAAACGATAAATCCTCCTCAGGATTTTTCCCTCTACTTTTTGTGGTCACATGATAGTTTCGGTCATGTGCTGCTGAACAATGAGCTAACACCATACTTGTATATTTTGGTATCTTTTAGAACAAACACTAATAACTGGCTTCAAAGCAAAAACTTATACATTTGGCAGTATAAAATATACTTTATACGTTATCTGTAATAATTTTAGAGGTAGCTAGAGAATAAAAATAAGGAGAAGATATGGAACCCGTGTAAATCAGAGGAACGTTTTCTCTCTCTGACTCTACATAATATGTACAAGAGGATTAGAATCTAACTCCTGGTGTTAAATGTTTGGTTTTCCTCTCAGATATGTTTGCTTGAAAGGCTTTTCAGCACTCCCAGCTCTTTGCTTTCCTACCATCTGCCTTTCATCAAGTCTTTTTATGACACTCTGCATCTGTTCATAGTTTCCGGTAGAGGGCCCGTATCTTTCAAGGGTTATTTAAACTGAAAACAGGAATCAAGCTGTTTCCTTTAGTTTTTAAGAAGTGCACACTTTTACATTGTCTTCCTTCCCATTGCTATAGCTTCACCTTTGTGCTGACCTGGTGAAGAGCTTTGCCTAAAAAGCCATTGTGCATTTAATTAGCAGAGTGGGCACTGTGCCTCTGCATGAGTCACATGAATTCTCCCCCTGAGGTTTCTTTTATGTTGTAGAAATTAATTCATATTTTTCATGGGTCATTTATATATATCTTTTTTGCATTTTTCCATCTAAGTGTCAGTTTTATAAGCAAAAGTCAAAAAGTCGCAGTGGTAAGACTGAGGCTCTTACTTTTTAAAATCTCCCTAATGTGCAGCTGAGTGAAAGTCATTCTCCAGTTTCAATCCTTCTTAGTCTTATCATGTTCTTATCTGGAGAATACACTTATTAAAGAATGGGCGCTTAAGTTCAAACACAGAAAACTTTGAACTTAAATTCCTATTCTCGGTCTCCCAGTCTTTTGTTGTAAATCTTTTCCCTGCAATGAAATAGGTTTGACTTCAGAGACCGGTTTATGACACTAGACAGCCAGCTCTTAGTCTCTACGACACAGTGTAGTTTCAAACTGATTAAAACTGCTCTGAGGTGAGCTCCATTCAACACAAAGACTTGACAAAAGTAAATGTGAGAAAATCTATGATAGTCAAACGTACCTTGGTTCCATAAGTTTGAGAGTCCTCTGAATCTGAAGCTCTGTTCCTTTGTTGCTAAAGTAGGTCAGTGTGCAAGTTTATATTGGCAGGATTTTAAGGAAGTATAATGGGAACACCGTGTCTGGGGAGGAGCTTTATTTTTTCCATACGGGGAAGTTACATTTGGTTTTAGCTAAAACAGCTGGATGATGTCAGGTGTCAAGTTACACAGGAATGTCTGAACATTTACAGACACCAATGAACGGCTGTACATTCGGACTTCTGCATGAAAAACAAGAAAATCATCTTTTTGATGTTTTGCAATAATTCTTATTTCTTTAATTCCATTGTAATTAATCTGGCAGACCAGAATCAGAAGAATCAGAAAAGCTTTATTGCCAAATTGTAACTTAGACGCACAAGGAACTGGCTTTCATAATAAAGTGCTACTTACAAACAAACACGCAGTTGGCATAAACAAATGTAGCAATATGTTATTTTGCATAAAGAATGCAAATAATATATAGGAATAAGAGAAGAGAACAATAAATACAAATTTGGTGTTATTTTTTGAAACTGAGTTTCTTAAGTCACTTTCATTTTGGCTACTTAATGAACTTTTTTTTTGTCAATACCAGAGATTCAGCTTTGTTACCTCATGACTAATTCTGGATTTTTGGAGACTACATTGCAAGTAAACCTAAACTGATTAATTCAGTCTCTACCAACTAAGAGGAGTTGAACATATTAATATACAAACTATAAATGTACTACTAACTACACAATATTATTGCATCCCATAAACACATGAAACAATGATGTTGAATGAACAAAATATGCAAGGAAACATTCTTTTCTCAGTTTTCATCCTCACAGTATACTTTATTATTGTACTCCATATGAAATATGAAACAGTTGTGTTCAATTTCAATAGATGCAACAGATCCATTTTTTTTTTTACAGTACAGATGGAAAGATGCTGTTACCATGGCGAAAGAAACAAGTGAGAGTTTGGGACAAGTAAAGTAAAGACTTTGATTACTTGGAATTTTCTGAGAACAATTTCATTAATTTCATTCTCTCACTGCATATTATGTTTTGTTTTTTTCCTTTAGGTGCATGTTATCAGGGATGAGAAAGCTTTGAGCAGCATACTTTAATGTCTACACTGTGAGGTTCAATAGAGGATAAAAAATTACCAGATCCATCATTTCAGACCAAGCTGTTAAGTTTGGCCTCGTACTGCACTTTTGCTTAATTCAAAAACATAAAAAAATTATAAAATCTGATAACCAGCATCATCAGTTACGCAGTTCTTAAAGCAACATGTTTCAATTTGTTATTTTAGATATGATAAGATGATTTGTAAGCTATGTAAGCAGATAAATGCTTAAATACAAACAAACATGAATAAAACAGGATATAACTTAGAAGTGGGAAATTAAGCATTTTTTTGTTTAATGTTGATATAAAGGATTAAGGTAATCAAGCCTTCTGCCAGTGATTTTTAAGTCTGATTTTCTGCACAACAGCTTTTTTAATGCCGTTGTTACTGGTCAAAGGTGGACCTAATGTGGGTCAAATCCAAATTATCATGGCGGCTAAGTAAAGGCATATAAGAATTACTCATAAGATCTGGTGGAAATAAAATCCCACAGCAGGATTCAAAATAAACCTGTTCCATATTCATATTGCATGTCTTTCTGCTGTCATGTGGTCAAGCACTTCCTTGTCCTGGAAGTCATGTGTGTATATATGAACATGTCGTGTGACTTCCATTGTCATACAGCAGACTAGGTCATGTAGTCACTGCTCTAAATATAAGAAGATCCGCTATGCCTCATATGTCCAGTGATAAATGACTGTACTGCAGCTGGCTGATCTTACATGCATTCGTACCTCCATCAGCAGATATAGAGTTTTAAATAAAGCAGCATTAGTAAGCAATCCCCATCAGACTACTATTACACCTGCCATCACTTCTTGAACGTCTCATTCATTCATTATTTATGTTCATTTTCTTCTTGGCTTCATATTGCTTATCATCACATCTTATTAATGTTTGATCTGATCACAGGTGTTTTTTTTTTCTTTTTGGGTTTTTATTTATTTATTTATTTAAATTTTATGATGCATTTTTAATATGGTGCAGTCATTTATTTCACCAGCAGTTTCAAATCTTGTTGTGCAGAAGCAAACTTTGATATATGAGGTAAATAGCATGAAGGCGATACTTTGCCCCAGACTGTCTCTGTGGGGTAATAAGATACCTGAATGAGTTAGTTAAAGTTTAAAGGAAACAAATACAGAAAAAATAAAGAGGTTTTCCTTTAGATTAATCAATATTTTTTTATTTTAATCTTAATAAGCCAAGGTGGAAAAAAAAAATCATGCATGTTATTTTAAGCACTTATATCTGGGCTGCAGAATAGCTTCTTTTATTTTGCCTTTTACCTTCTCTTACACATTTAAACATTACCGACAAGGGAGTTATCCAGCATTACGAAGTTCTCTGACTTTCTCCTTCTAAAATGCAATTGGCCTTATGGAAGATCCCTTTAAGGTAATAAAGGTCAATTTAGAAAAAATAACATTTCACTCTTTCATTTCATAATATAAATGTATTTTGAAATATTTAATTGAACACTTAATTATCTAATGATTTCAATTAGAGACAAATATATTTATTTATTTCATGATATATTCATTTATATATAAAATTTAAAACTAATATTTATTTAAAACTAAGGAAAATCTAGATAGGTATAACTGGTTTACCTAAGCTAGACAATACAAAAAAAAAGAGTTTCACAATGTGATGCTGTAGAAAATGATCCAGAAACTGTTTGAAAATTTAGTCAATGGTCATTTATTAGTGGGCGTAAGTGTAAAATCTAAATAAAACCCCAAAGTATGGTTGTATACTATGTTGTAACGTGTTCCAAGGTTATAGCAAGCAAATCTAAAATGTATCTGGATGTCAGGAGAAAATAAGCACCCATAAATAAATGAATAAAAGCACTGGCTGGTGAGGCTCTGGCTGCACTTCATATTCAATTAACACCATGAATCAGTTTGTTGAATACATGGTGTTCCTGCTTCTGTTCCCTCTTCCCTCTTTACTATTTGCTGCCAACACTGAAAATGAAAAATAATGAAAAGAAACGATGATGTTTGATTTGGGGATTAAGATAAAAAAAAAGGCCTGTAATAATGTGGGATAGAATGTGCAGTCACTCATAAAATCTGCTATAATCCACTTTTCCCAAAAGTCGGTCTTACAATGCAGCAAAGATGTAATATACAGGAGTACATTTCCTTCTGAGTTCAAAACCATGTTCAGAAAATATTATTCAAATTCCTCTCTATCTGTTTCCTGTCCTTTGTTGCTTTGGGTCAACATAGACCTTGGGTGCTGTGCCGGGATCTCTGTTGTGCTAAGATCTTTGTTGTGTTAAGTGCAGAGCAGGCGAGCAGCTTCAGGCACTTGCTTTCATCACTGACAGCTTTCTATCTATTCGAGCGCCTTTTTTTTCCGTTTCTGTACAGCCCCGCCGGCTTTCTCTTGGATGAAGAGTGCATCTTAAGCTTCTGTAAGACTCTTCCCTCAGATTCCTCCTTGGCCACTTTAGATAATGAAACTTATTCTGCCTAAAATGATCTATCGCCTGGCCACCCCCATCTCAGCTCCAGCCGATGTCATACAGATGGTCATGACCTGAGTGTTTAATTATGTATGAGTAGATAGATTTATTTCCCAATAATTCTCAGAGCTATGTGCTTAGGTTGTAGAATATATTTACATGGCAGTGCTTTTCTCTTTTTAGTATAATGTGATCTCTGGCAGCCTGATCAGCCTCTCTACTTTTGCACAGAACAGGAAGTTAAACCCCTTACTCCACAATTTTTTTCTTGTGGCGTCTTTCTCTCCCTTACAGGCAAAACCAACAACAAATCTGGAAGCAGATCAGTTCACTGCTCTGCTGTAAAAACATATGATAAACTTGCTGACTCAGATGTCATGGGGTTTCAGCTTCCTGCTATTTCGACACCATTTTGGCACCATGAGAGCAGACAGGAATTCTTACATCACTGCAGTAACGTACAACAATGACATCCCATCTTCAGTATGAATCCATACCAAGATTCCCTCTAGGGACAGGTTTTGTAGCCATCAGTTTGCTTAAGGTTTAGAGTAAATGTGCATCAACTCCAGAAAATGTCAAGCCCTTAAAGCTCATGGATGAAGAGAAGGCCCAATGGGTCTTAAACCCTTGTTCGAACTGTGTTTGCTTTTCCTTGACCAGTCCAGAGATTAGGCCAGCAGACACTGACAAGGTTTTAAAGGCTTGATTTGATTCCAGACGATTAAACTATGTTGTCTTTTTTTCCCCATCTAAAGTTCATGATTGTTTGGGATTGTCTGATCCACATTTGACCTGTTTTTTTTTTCCTGCTCAATTTCAATATAAACTGTAAGGCCCAGGGAAGAGAGAGACAAGGGACTGAACTACTTGCAGAAACTCCCAGAATGTACAGTTTTACCCATTTCCATGCCAGCTGGACGGAAGGAGAAGTGAAGGCTGCAATCTTTGAAGTCCCGATTTTCCAAAATTCTATTCCCAATAGCAGTTATTTCTCTTTGACTTCATCTCTCTGTAAGGTACAATGGCAAAAAACAAAAGAAAACAAATGAGATGGTGAAGATATTTATCTTTCCAGGTGTGCAAATGAACCCATCCTTAAAAAAAAATCTGGGATCTGAAATGACACAAGTCTGTTTTCTGTGTATCCAGCAAATCTAAAATCTTTAGAGTTCCTCATAAATGTAATAAAGGCAAGAACACATTTCAATGAATGCATCCTGGCCAAAATAAGAAAAAAGACTGGCTGCCTGAAAACGGCTGTTTGAGCTTCTGCAGAGAGAATCTGAACCAAAAACTATGCACTCAGAGCTAGATTAACTCTATTTATTAAGTAATTTTGCTTCCACCGCCCTGAATAAGAAGGCATTTGAAAATGCAGCTTGCCAACTCGTTGACTTAGAGCAAACTGCTTCTCTGTTTGTTAGATCCCCTTAATCAACAATTTTCTCAGAATCAACAGAATAGTTGATGAGTTTTTCTTCGCTCTCTAATTAGAAAATTGGGATAAAC